CCACATAAACATTCATTACTTCTCCGGTAAAACAAATCGGCGGTAAATTAAAATTGCCATGAGCTCTTTGTTGAAAATTCACTTCATAGGATAAACAGCACCGTTTTCTAAGCTTTAGTTTAGCCCGACTTGATTGATTCATAAGATAAACATCCCACGAAATTTTGCCCCACAAAACTGACGAGTTTGAGAACAGTGCGAAAATTCGGGGAAACATTTTACAGCTTTGTGTGCACATAACAATGGAACTCGCCTCGGTCGTATATCCTCCTCGCCATCACCATGACCACCACCACCAACCTCACTCTCCTCAGGGCGTTTCACATATGTGGCCTGGTTTGTGCTAATTCGACCTGATTGGAACCAAGGGCGGAAAAATTTCAAATTAAGCGACTTCAATAGTAGAATGAAACGGACGTATTGAGTAGATGAGTGGACAAGCAAATGACCGCTCGCCCCGTCTTGCCGAATGCGTAAATAGCACCTCGACTGGTCCAACTGCTGCCGCTTCGATTAGCACAAGCTAATCGAATTATCACGAAACCGGGGTTATGGCGACCTAGATCAGGCTTGCATCATGTGTGCTTGAGTGTGTGTGTATGTGTGTGTGTGTGTGTGTGTGTGTGTACGCTCGCGTGCGGCTAACGCAAGAGGTTACTTTGAATTGTCTGTGCATTTGTCCATGCGGTCATGGTGTGCGTGATTACAGATTATGTATATAATATACGCGTGTATGTGTGTGAGCATCTCCCCTTCCCCACCCCACCTCATCCCACCCGAGATTTCGCACATTCGCCACAAACTTCATTCCAAATTGCGTTCGCCCCTTCTCCGCACCACCTCAACGCTAATTCTTCTGAAACGGATGTGCAGACAAATGAATTAGCCCATAGAGAAGAATGTCGCAAAATGCCTGAGGGAATTTTTTGGCCGATTCGCGGTTGACTTGCAATCTGCTTACACTCACTCGGTCCAAGTCTGAAGCACAGCGGCACGTTTGTACACACTATCAAACACACACCGAAACACACACATACGGACAGAAACGTGCCCAGTCATTATGATTATGGTTATTATTATGGTTGCTTGATTCAAGTTCAATCGGGACGAATATCACCACCAACATTTGTATGGCTGTATTGCCAAAAATACTCGGCAATACCGATGCATAAGTGTGTTCGCTTACGAGCCGGAACGGGTTTGGAAGAGGGTGATGAATGTTTTAAAGATGAACTTGAATTGCGGACAGCAATGACGCATCAGCTGGCTTTAACGCGGTGCATCGCTAAAGCTATAGCCGTTAAAAGAGACTGGGGGAAGAGAGGGAACAAATTCACAGTCTGTTTAATGTACTCACAATTGACTGTCCCCCCCCCCGGGCCTCTCCTTTTTCAACTTCAATCTGCAATCGGTTACACAGGTGGATGCCTGAGAAGGGAGTTGGGATGACTTGAGAACCGGCTCAAATTACCTCAGTGTTACATGTCTCGATCAGTTTTTGCGTTACGTATTTTCAAATAGCATGCGTATTGTTGATCAAGATATTTTAAATGAACTATTTATAATAACGTCGCAAGCAATCAATGGATCCTCAAGCATACTCTTCTCATCCCTCTCCATCTGCAGGTACAAAACTTCCGAAATCAATATTGTGTAATTGCTAGGGTATGCAATGTCAAAACGGGCCGACTGCAGACAATCCAGGAAACATTGTGAAAACCATGTGCACTATGGCAACGACAAATAATTCCAACATGTTTCACTCCTCGGAGCCGCTCTCTTCAAACCCCACATCCAATGCGAGCAATACAATGGATCCGAATGCCCTCAGTTTTATGTCCAAGTTGTTTCCCGATATGACTTCAACTTTGTATTCTCAAACCTTGTTGAAAGGAACCATTCCCAGCCATGCAAGTCAGACCGATTTGAACAACCTGACAGAAGACGAAAAATGCATCAACCATTTTCGTCCACTGGGAGGAGATTCAGTCGTTCCGGCCAGTCTGTTGCCGTTTGGACCGTTCCCTTTTCCAAACGGTATAAGCAACTTGTCATTTGTACCCAACCCGATTGTGTCGGGAGCCGATTCCATTCCAATTTTGTCGGAACCACGTAATCCCAATGTGCTATTGAACACAAACGCGACCTCAATGGCAAGTGAGGCAGTAAAAACTCACCCCGGATCACCACAACTATTCTCCCCAGCAATGTTGAACAACGATCTTAGTTTGTCGCAGCTGGATCAAACCAATTCAAGTGTACACGGAACAAAGAAGCTTGGCGTGAATTCGATGACAGAGATCGCTAATCTGTTACAATTGTCCAACATGAGCAATATGCCGTATCCGAATTTCGCTGCGGTAGATAGTCCGGGCAAATCGAAGAATCTGACTTTCCCCGGTACCCAAGGCCAAACACAGACGATAAAAACGGATGAGGATTTTTGTGAATTGTGTCAGAAACATTTTTGTAACAAGTACTATCTACGCAAACACAAAGCTGACGTGCATGGAATTCATACTGAGCCCTATTCACACAGTCGGCGACGTGAGTCATTCAATGCAAACGCACAAAAACACTGCACTACATCACAATCCACAGTGCTGGGTCTAGAACGACCTGGATCACAGATAAGCACCGGTGTGGGTTCGAATAATGCCACCACGAAGGTTAGCGGTTCAAGTAAAACCAACTACTCCATGGACTCGGATCATTTCAGTTCCGAATCGGGCAACCCAATGGTCACCAGTTCCGGATATACTGAAAATGGAACCAGTTCCAATTTATTGTTTCCCTCCTTGCCAGTCGGAGCTAACCCAATGGATTATGCCAGTGTACTGAAAGAAACATTCATGTTGAACGCTCTGCAATCTAAAATACCTACCACTGTAAATCAGAATCAAAATACCCCTGGCATAGTTTCGTCCAACACATCACCGACTTCGAACTCATCTGGTCTGCCAGTTCCCATGAACGGTATGGATTCAATGCTATCTGCACATTATTACATGATCGCTCTAATGTCCTCTCTATCACCCGGTATGGCGCACGAAATCGTAAATAGTGTAGAAAACACACCACCACAGATGGAGAGGAATACCATGGGTGAAATGTTTCCGCATTTGTCTAATGCGGAATCGAATACGGGCATTCGTGAAGTGCAGTGTGACTTGTGCCAAAAAGTATTCTGTAATCCGTACTTCTTACAAGTACACAAAGCGAATCAACATAATTCGACAAATGAGTCGACACGTGAAGAACCTGACAACTTTGCGGTTGGAGACCTGAAAAGAGATGATAAAAATTCGGCTACTCAGCGTTCCGACGCCGGTAACGACTACGGAAAACTAAGTGATTTAGACCTACAGACGTACTTTATCGGCCAGTCTACACGTGTGGGGGGATCTGTAGATCGCCAGTCGACGAGTGGGTCAGCTGCACACTCGCTTAACACCACAGTCAAGCCCGATTCGAAGGTAACAACAACAACAACAACATCGATGGCGGTCACATCAAATTCCCTGGATGTATTCAAGAGTAGCATGGTCGCTGCCAAATTGGCCGATCGTGTTACATGTGAATTTTGCAAAAAAGAATTATGCAACAAATACTTTTTGCGCACGCATAAAATTCGCGTCCATGGTGTTTCTCCGAAAGATGTCGGTGGTCCACCGATGCGCAACCCTCCAGTGGTAACTTCGGCGACCAATGCACAGCATCAACAATCATCAATGAGTTCTGTCTCAGCGCTAGCACATCACAATATTGGAGCAATGTATCCCTGCTTTGACCCATCAACGAACACTCGTCTTTCATCTGCCCATACTATCATTAGTCCGGGGTCTGTAGGAAACGGTCTGAACAGGACTAGTTCCGGTTCGACTTCAACCGAGGTCTCTTGCCCTACCAAATCAGAACAGTCTGTTCCGAGTGGAATGTTTGGTACTCTTCCCGTTGCTCTTCCTCCACCACATTTGGCCAATCCACTGTTTGGCTTACCTTACTGGCCAATGTTCTCACACTCCATCAGTGATCAGAATCTCTCCGGTTCGGTCACGTCAAACACATCCAGTGCTCCGACCACGACAACTTGCACTGATTCCGGTCTATCTGTGACAACTACACCGTCACAACAGACAACTACCGCATCGGGCGAAGCACAAACGCTTTTACCACTGGGTTTGAACGGACCCGAGAACCTGTCTGCAACTGCAGTCATTTCATGTCCAATTTGTGAACATACCATTGGGCCACGTCTATTTCTCCCGTCCCATTTGACTACGATACACGGACTCAATCCCCTAGATCCGGCATTCTTCCTCAACATGCTTCGAGCCAAAGTCATCACAGCCGCGTCCAATGCACACGAGGTGGCGTTTAACGGAACGGATAATCCGGTCGAACCCAAGAAAACACAATCCGAGTTGCCCAACTGTGCGGACTCCACTATGCCCACACTGGTTCAAGAAGAAATGACAGACATATTTTCAAAAGAAAGCGGTAACAGTCAGACTGGCGTGCCGAAAGGAGTGGTGATATCACAGGAATCGGTCAGATCCCTTCCGAATCATTTCGATGGCGGACAAATATCCCCAGATCAATTCATTCACAGTTCGCCTTGCGACTCAGGTACGTCTATACTTCACCCGCATTTGCTCAATGAATTTACACTATGGCAGCAGTTATGTCATCTAACGCGTAGTTCGGTAGTGAATGCACTTTTCTGATATTTCTCCATAGATACCGATTCTGTAAAATTCGGTTAAGGGAAAGCAACCACTACTTTCTTAAACTAATTTAATTTATTGATTAAACCGCAATTCGTAAGGGATTTGTTTCAATTCCACTCCTTTGTCCACATATTATGCTTACCTTTCCCATTATGAGTAACATTACAAATAGAGTAGTATATTCGTGTATAACCCTGTCGACTGTATTTGTAATTGAGTATTGTTAATACGTCCTATTTCGGCGAAGATCGTCGCAATTCAACGATCGGAATATGCAAGAGACAAGGGGCGAAGTGATCCTATTTTGTCGTTTTGGCACATTTGATCCTAACCGCAACTCTTCTACAAAAGCCTCCACTATTTTCTGTTTGAATACCAGTTTATCTCCGTTCTCTGTCTTCCCAATCCCGCAGTTAAATTACCGCTCCGTTCTCCACATCCGCGTATCCAATATGTTTTCATAGTGTTTCTAGCGGGAAGAGGGAAAACTTATTAATTGATACTGGAAGGTATGAGCAAATCCATTGTATACAGTAAACCCGATATCTTGATATTAGAAGAGATCGGGAGTGTTGGTATTCAAGTGGCTTAAGTTACTTAAGTTGCTGGCCTGCTTTGACCCCTAGGGCTTCAGATTCAAACACCACCACGACTAATTCTACCGCCTAGTTTTGGTGCTAGGCCGCTTCATTGCTGTCTGGCTCAATGCCACATCTAATCTAGATGGCTCCTTATGCAGTGTGACACTCCAAGTCTCGGGTCTTAGGTAGTCAATTTCAATGGCTGAATAAAAAGTCCTCGTGACATAGGATTCAACCGCTCTGCTGCTCATCACCAATAATCCGTGACAGAGAATTATAGGCACCACCGGACTTGGTGCGTCTCTTTCCCTCGTTTATTTCTGACGAAACTCCAGGGTCCATATTTTTCCGAGTTCAACTAGGCTGTCTTCTAACAAACGTTCATGCTCACCAGGCGTTTGAGTTGATCAAGATTCAATTTATCCGTTATTGAAATGCAATATCGGATGTTTGATATGCTTTTGCCGCTTGGAGAGCTTGGTTCTGTCGTCTAACTGAGCAACCTGAACGACTCATTGTCATTTTTAGATTCCCATTGGCAGCTTTCTGGTACGGTGATATATAAGAACAGACTGGGGCTTTCACAGTTAAGCATAGTCAAAATCCATGCACTACTCTTCTCAGCTCAGTACCTAACGACCAGCAAACTTCTTGGGGACCTAACAAAACATTGGTAAACATTTCACGTATTTGCGCGCATTTGTGTATACTTAAAGCTCTGAAGTTCCTTCGCTGGTTCAATCATTTGTCCTGCAGTCCCATTGGCAAGTGAAATCTAGAATCACATGTGCAAATTAAACTGTGGAAATGTGGGTCAAGAGTTCCAAACCAGATGTTTTGAGTTATTCATTTTGCATGGACGATGACACTGGACTATTGCTTTCCAACTCTTCATTCATCTGTTTTCCTGTTTCACAAACATAATCACTCGAAACCGAAAGGGATAAAGTGGAGCATGTATGCGTGTGTGTGTGTGTTTCTGTATGCAGGCACGTGAAAATAACACAACAGGCGGAACTGAGCTGAACTGAGATTCTGTCAACTGAACAAGCAGTCGGTCCATTTATTCCATCCACCCCTTTTCAGCACAGTTATGTCAACGCATAATCAGATTTACGGACATGGCCATTCTCACTTGTGGAATAATGTCGATATGATTGCATTCAACTTCATTCGTGCGTTTGTGCGTCTTTCCTAACCACCGTGTTTGTCCCCTGTAGCAGAGATTTTTTGAGGGGTGAAGGATAGCGATTCAGTATACTGTGCTGACTACGTGTGGAAAGTGAGCTAATGGGTGTGAGGGTGGTCCGCCGAGTGCTTTCAAGTATCTGAATCGGTCGACTCTCAAGTTGTTGGATAGTCCGAACAATTTTGCCGTCAACATGCAATTTTGAATGCTTCTTTGCTTCCTCGAACCATCTGTTTTCGCTTTCATATAGATAGATATACCTCCTAACATGTAGGAACACGCAAACAGTAAGACAAGGAAAGCTTTGATTCTAACAAAAGCTGAGTGCGGAATGGGACCGAAGTAGATAGACTGCTTCAGGCATACGAGAGGCCTATGTGCAGGTGGTGGGATAAGGCAAGTGGTCAAGCAACAATTCACACGATG